CATATGGAGAGCTGAAAGCTAGCTGGAGTGTACTCTCTGGGCTGCGGTACCTCCTGTGCAGGGATTGTCTCGAAATTTCCGCTTTTTTAAATTTTTTTTTAAGAAAATGTTTTCCTAGCTAATTCTCCACTAGACAACCGGGCAACATGAGGAGTAAATAGGCTAGCCCGGAGCGGTTTTTACTAGACATTGTACGCTGGGCTAGTACTAAATCGAGTTCTGGAATTGTATAGAGCATTATGATAAATCCCTTCGTGCGCTTCATGTTATCATTATCATTGGATTAAAGGCCTATGGAACACAAACTCAAGCTCCCTGGGGGGAGTATTCCATAATGTAGCAGTAGCTACATCAGCAGATTTTGGCATTTAACCCTACCAGGTACCCACTTATACTGTATTCCTGGGTGGAGAGAAGCAATGCAGTAAGGGATTGAAACCCCGTTCCTGCTGCGCCAAACCACTTCTACATGCCCAAATATGGGAATATTATGCTGGGGAACCGAATCTCAAGTATTGTATTTGTAGAGCCATGTTGTGGGCAGAACCGTCCATTTTCCAGTGGGGTATAAATGTTTTTAACATGACGCGTGTTGTAAGTGAACATTTCACTGGGTAGGCAATGGTTAAGCCTTACTTTATTGGGAATCCCCACCATCCCAGTATGAAAACAAAGTACATGCAATCAATAAAGGTTGTTTTTATCAAACGTAAATGTGATTTAGCTTTAGTTTCGATAGATTTGAAGAATATAAAGAAATTGCTGAAGGTAGACCAGGCCCAATTAGGCTAGGACGAGCTGATTAGGCCAAGCCGTCCAAGCCGTCATGGTAAAAGTGGCCGTCCTAAATAATTTTTGGCCGTCCAAAAGATGGCCGGACGGCTCACTTGCTAAGCCTATGTTTGACCATGATCGTCATGTTTTTTTTCTTGGTTTTTTTTTGTAATTTTATTGCAAAATTAAGGAATAATTGAAATTTACATAATAATTTAAGATAATATAAAAAAATGCTAAGACTATAAAAAAAAAATATATATATATATACCAGCAGAAACAGTTCAAATGATGATGATGATGTCATATCATACCCATATTTATACATGATTATATCATATCAGTCCCAAATATGTATTGTTACATTAATCTTGATTGTGTGAATAGAACCTCAAATACTTCTGTCTGATTACCTTGTTCTTCAGGCATTAAGTATAACACAATCAGATTTCTGTCTGTCAGACTTAGCAGACATTTTTAACAGACTTTTGTCACCTGCAGTTTTCTGTATTTTTCTTGATTGTTGATATTTTTTTAAAGTTAAACTGTTTTAATGTATTTTATGATATAAGGCTTTATTGGAAAGAACTGAAAATGGTTGGAATTTTTTTACTGAATGAATTTAAAATGAATGTTTTTTTTTTTAATGCTTTTTACATTGTAAATTATTTGTATGTTTGAAGAGAATTGAGACAATGACACAAACATATGCAATGTTTGGTTAAACATTGCTTATTGTCCTTTGAGCCTGACAGATAAATATCTGATGGTTTAATGGCTATGTGCATATAAAAAATGGTTGCATGCATTATTCATATTTATTCAACTTTTAACTGGAGAGTGCATGAGGACTCACCAATATGATAATGCAAACAACCATTTTAATTTCAAGTTTTTATTGTTTGCTGCCCTCTATCAGTCTTCTTGTAATTAAGAAACTTTTCTAATTTTTATAATCAGATATTTGGTTGCATTGGTGGAAAACTGACCAAACTGGATCTAAGCGGCTGTAACCAATCAGCATGCGATTCAACATTAAAGTGAGTACATTAATGTTATTGGTATTAACAAAGGGGTCATTAGATATGAGTTGTAAACAAATAGATGGCAGATAAAAATTAAATCTACAATTGTGTATGTGATGTAAAGATTTTAATGATAATTTGTTCACTACATTTTTTTCAGGTCAATTGTGAAGTATTGTGTGAACTTAGAGGAGCTGGCCTTGGCATTCTGCATGAGAATCACGGGGGAGCCACTCCTGAAGCTTTTACGGGACAATAGAAGAGCCGAGAATTTGAAGTCGATCAGGCTGAGTGGCTGTAGAGATGTACGTACATTTTTATAGCATTTAAATGTAAATCACGAAAAATCTTAGTTATTTATTGCAATTAAACACATGTATTTCTTTGTTATTATATTTGAGTAGAGCCCATATATTTTCCAGTACAACAAGATTCCAATTCTGTCCCACTTTTGGCAGGATTGTGCCGCTTTTGTGATAGGTGTAACGTTGTCTTACCCAACACCTACATTGTCCTGCTTTTTGACTAATGTATGAATGAATATGAAAAATACAGAGACCAAGTTTTATAAAGAAGATGAAATTCACCTGACTCTCATCCATGCTACAAATATCGAAGTACCAAGACAACTCAAGCGTATCAAGTGTGAGACATCAAATTCTTGGAGGGTGGGGATGGGGGGACCTGGCCCAGACCCTAAAAATTTGTTGAAAATTATTTAAAAATCTAGAATAAAAGAAAATTAAAATGAAATAATCATGAACTTTCTTACCTCGGCCCGAACCATGGTGGGGCAGAGGTGGTCTAGACTCACTATCAGTGGGAGTCCCTATCTGGATTCCCTCTCTTACAAATTCCTTTATCCGCTACTGATACCTATAAATAGGAAAGACTGATAGATCACAGCCACACTGCCCCGATCTGCCCTTCGTTTACCTTACTATAGTTTTATGTTCAAGGTCAGTGGGAATATCCAATTTAGCGCTGTCCAATTTCACTAAAATCATTAACATCACATTGTATTCGTGGGTGGATTGTGTTGCCCAGGGACTCCAACAATATGACTAGCACCTTACTTGTAGTGTTAGAATCCAAAGCCTTGCAACTTTGATGCATGCTTCTATGCTAAACGTACGGTACATAAAATACACACCAGTACTAGCTTCTACACAAATACAACTATTACATGGATAAGTAAAAAAAAAAAAAATAATGGAGCTCATCACTGCTTTTTGGTTACTATCGTTGGTAGCCCTAATCAGGCGGTTGACGACTTAAACCAAAGCCTGGCTTCCAAGCTATCGATGACAGTTGTCAGCGACGTTGGTAAGTCAGTCATATTAAAGAGCCTTCTCCAAATGCGTAGCGGCAGCTTTCCAGTGCAAAGATTTCAGTGAAAAGAGTAACAGTGTAGCGATTTTATGCAACCCGAGCTTTACTTAGAAATGCCAAATCATTTAAGCATGAAGGATGACACTTTAACCTCAAGATATCATTTACATAATCATGGCTCTATCGATGCTAGTAGCCAAAATGTTTTGGTAAGCTCCGTTAATTGTTTGAACTTGTTTGAACGTATTATTTATGATACGCATATATACACAATGTATTTTAAATTATTTGTAGTTAAATAATCAGTGTTTCTTTTTTATAGATAAAATATCACGTATTAGTGGCACTCGTTTCCTCCTGCCCGAATCTGGAAGGACTCTTTATGGCCGGCTTGAAGGTATTAGATGATGACATGTTGCATAGCATAGCAAATAACTGTCATCGACTGAAAGAAATCTCACTCAAAAGTTGCATCGCTAGCACGAATCAAGTAAGTAGGAAAGTATTGGGTACAAGCCAGGAAACGCTTACAGCCGGGCAATCACTATGTTGTACGACGATGACACCATGCGACAAATCCAACTCTATTCTATGCGAGCGCTAGATGACACAACGCTGTCTGTTTGTTATGTTGCGCATGCATCGTGCTCTTGCGTTTCCATAGAATCGCGTCGGCTCTGGACTGCCGTATGTAGTGAGTGTCTGCCTTAAATTTGTGTCTTATAAACAGCAACAGTTTCTCATATACTCTACTGCATAAAAATCAGTTCAAGGGCCGAAGTGATTTTTTGTATTTACCTCTAAGGGCAGCATGCAAACTTGGTGCTTGTAAAACATTCACTCGCACTGTTATGCTATAGTGAAAATCAAATAAAAAGTAATAATTTTGACATTATTATCTTTATTCTTTTTTTTTAATGGACATCATCATCAGTTCAAGTTCAAAAACATTCTTTTCAGACAATGAATGTGGATCAACGGTATTAATCTGTCAGACAGACAGTCTCTCGGGATGGGTTAATTTTCACTAGACGTAAATGGTCATGAACCACTTACGAAGCACTGCTAGGCATTTAGACAAATATTGTGTTAAGTCTATCAACAAGGGTAACATTTTACAACTATTCTAGGATTGTCTGGGATTTTGTTTGTGTGTTTTTCACATCAAACTTACCAAATATTTTTATTCATTATTGCCGTGTCACCCTAAGTGTTAGAATGACCTCATTTGAACTTAAAAGGAAAGCCTTAATATGGTATAAGCAGGGCTCTTTATAGTACTAGTCCGTCGTACAATGTCTAGTCAAAACTCCTCTGGGCTAGTAAACCCACCATATTACTAGCCCGGTGGGCCAGTGATCAGTTATAAACTGTTGCTTTAAGTATGCTTGGCGAAGAGCATAATGTTACTGATGTAAAATGTAGTCATTAATTGGGCTAGTAAAATAGCCAATGGGCTAGTGAAATATACAGTAAGCTGGCCCAGTGGGCTAGTCACCAAAGAAAGTTAAATCGAGCCCTCGAAGCGACTGTATGCAGATGGGCTGATTACAATGGTTTGATCATAGAGAGAGAATAGAGAAGGGTAACCAGGAGCAAATCCAGAGAAAAATCTGGGAGGGCCATGGGCATGTGAATCACCTAGCGATGGAGGGAGTGGTGGGGGTGGTAGGGGTGCTGGTATTGATTTTTGTTTAGATATGATTTACGTACACTATTTTTTCTCTCTCTTCTTTCTGGCAAAGGATGGACCCTAACAACTTTGATCTCCTCAGATATTTTATTCATTTCACACACAAAGTAATCCAAACCAGTGAAAACTCGAAAGGAAAGCAATAAACCTAGGACTAGCACACACAATATATCTTTGTCCGTACTGATTTGGTAGCAGTATGAAAGCATGCACATTGAATATTACTTCGAACATCTTTGAAGAAAGAAACAAGGCTTGCTTTTCTTCTGAGATGTCACAGGGGTCCTCCGAGATATCTCAAAAAAGTTTCTTATCGATTTGGTTTCAGTTTGTTACAGTTTGCAAAGTATTGCCAGTGTGAGAATGGTATAAGTTTATGATATTGACAGTTTATTTGTGGTTGTTATTTTATAGGTTTCTGATAGTGGCCTGACCGAACTTGCTCGATGTTGTCCATTGAAGGAAGTTGTACTGTCAGGTGTCCATAGCTTGACCAATAAGAGTGTGCTAGCCCTTGCCAACAACTGTCCTGACCTCAAGTGTCTCTATATCTCAGGCTGTTCCAAGGTGTCATCAGCCGCTGTCAGGTATCTTCAGGTGAGTTCGTCATTTATCTGTTTGTATTTATTTTGTCACCTACCTCTGATATCATTCATCATTATCATCAACATCATCATCATTGTAAACATTATCACCATCGTCATCAGGCCAAAAAAAAAAATTTGTGTTGGCCACGTTTTGGGAAAATCCAAAAAATGAGTAGGACGGTAGGAAAACTTTTTTTTACAACCAAATATGTGTTTACGCCTAAAAGTAGAAAATACACAAATAAAACAATTTTGAATTTGTATCGCGTACCATCTACAGTAGCAAAATAGGCCAGCCTTGTGGAAAAGGGGTGTAACCACTCTTTTGTCCACACAATCTATTAATATTCAAAAATCTGTATCTCATTATTCCAGAGTTTTTGTCAAACACTCAATTTGTGTCTTAGAATTTTTTCTTCTTGGAAGCCTGGCTTTAAGGTGCAATACTGGCTAGTTATAAAAAGATAAAATCAAATCAATGTAATATTGACACAATCATATTCTATTTCTTGCTGGGAACTATAAATTGGTAAGATTGTCAAACAAGCAAACAAGAGACAAATTAATTTTAAATAATCCAGAGAGAAAAATCCTTTAAGTTTAATCCTTTTCAAGTTTTGTTGTTTTTTTGTTTTTTAACACAACAGGTATGGAAATGTTTTTCTAATGTGTTTTTGATTTTAGAGTCTAAAATACTTCCCACTTTGGTGGTTGAACGGATGTAACTTAAGTTCTAGGGAAATGATAAATTAACTTAATAGGAAGATAATATATTTGCATTTATATTTTGTTTTGATAAAAGAAACTATACTACAAATAATTTGTAAAGTAATTCAATCAGGAAGTATTAGTTATTGGTAGAGTTTATTGGTACTGTGCTTAGGGGCTTGGATAATTTATATTATATTTAATGTAATTTGTAAAATAATCAATCAATATAATATATTTACAATATACCAATTTGATTGTAAATTGTAGATTCATGTTTTCCATGGTGCAACATACAAGTTTAATATCAATGCCCTTTTGTCTGTATATATAATAAATAAAGTAGATAGAATACATGTTAAAATACTTAATGAAATTGGAGTTCATTTGAACCTCTTATAGGTTGTACAGCTATGAGTCCTATAGTAATTAATTTTTTTATTCGAATACATTAAAATAGTTAAAAGTTAAATTCTAAAAAAAGAAAAAAGGCAACAGGGCTAAAGCTATACATATACTGTATATGTATATGTATACATGAATCTTTTTCTTTCAAATGTAAAATCTAAACTTCTAATTCTCTCTCTTTTCTTTTTTCTTTCTTTTTTCTAACATTAAGATGCTAATTACAAAATATATAATAAATATAAACAAATTATCGGTATTACATGTATGCTGTCAAATTTCTCATTAGTTGAGTGTAATCACTTACGTTTGCAGCCATTCACCCTCATAACCTTCTGTCAATCCAATTTACATTCATCAAGTACCGTATTAAATTCGCTAGATTATCTTTATGGCTTATATATTTTAACTGAACAGTCTAAAATGTATTTCGCATTCCCTGTTGCCATATGAATTTCTGATTAACAAAACGGCAGGTATGGCATATTTAATAGGTTCTAGCTAAATCTTGATTTTAATAAATGCACAATTTTTAATGCATTTCTGTTTTTTGTTTAATATTAAATCATAAGATTTCTGTACCAAATTTCATATTCTTATAACCACCTAGAAAAGGCCTGTAACAGAGGGTTTCTATAGTTTGGCCCACCCAACCAACTCCTTCAGATAAGATGAACTTCCCCTTTCTCCATCGTCAAAATAATAATTTAATTCACTATTCATATGCTAGAATGCTTCAGCTCTGGGGTAAATTGCTCCCCATAGACACCACCAGGGCTCTTCCCTTAGACCCCCACCTCTCCCCCTCTCCCTATGCACTCTCAGACCCTGGCTGTCAGTGACCCTCTTTAAGGAACTTTGTATCAGGCCTGTATAACTGTTTTCTGTCCGCCTACACTTGATGAAAATGTAGTGCAACAGCCAAATTGGGTTTCTAGTTTAGATGCCCCAAGGCAAGATAAATTCTAACTTGAAATGTAATATGTATTTCAAAATTCTTTACATTAATAATCTACTTATTATGAACCAACGTTAAGCAGAATTTAGATAGATTACATTGAAAGTAATCAAAACAACGTTTAAGTTAAACCGTACTCCCACATAATTCTTGTACCTACCGCAATGATTCCTTAATACCATTCATTACGCCATCTGCGACATTAACTTGTTATTTTCGTCAATTTCTGGTGGAGGCTCGCAACCGCTTTCCCTTTAATCAGAATGTCTATACTGGGGAATTAATATATCTGTTAGCCATCATGATTACCTCATTAAAATGACTTTATAATCACTTAAAGATTCCCCATAGTAAACCTAAACACTCTTTAATTGCTCAAAAGGTCATATGCTAAAGTTCAGCAACCAATGACCTTTAGTTATCTCGCTAAATCTGTAAGCTAAGCAAACCTGGATATGTTGAACACTTAACTGAACTTTAAGATTCAAATCTGAAATTGTTGTGGAAGATGTTTTCATTACAAGTCATAGTTTCTTGTCGTGTACCATGAATGCTTGAGTATGCGCTGCAGCACTTATAACATTTTTGGAGGCTTCAGTGCGACGCTTATAAAAAAATATTGGCATGGCGCTTTCATTGCCTGTTCCTATGTTGCCTATTTCACGTATTCCCTGTAGTTCAGTAGGCCTATGATAAGTCCTACATCATTGTAAAGACTCTAAACGTGTAAATGTGTCTTAATTGTGTTATTAATTTATTGTAACACTGCATAAAACCCTGTTTCTCAAAGTGTTTCATTACACGCAGGGTAATATTCTCTCAGCGCCCTAATCAAGAGCGGCACTTATTTAAGCATTTAAGATATAAGCATAGAAATAACCTGCTTAGTAAATTGCAGTAGGCCTATATTCTGGACCAACAAAACTGTTGCGCTAAGAAAAGATAAACTACATTGGTTTTGGGAAAGCCCTGTCCAGGCTATCAAAGTTCATTTGAAAAAAAACCCAAAAAAACATGTGGTATGCCTGGTCATATAGCAACACATTATGACCATATATAGGCACATCATGACTATACATAGGTATACTGATTTTTGTCAAAGAAAATTTGATAGACTGGACAGAGATTAGAATGGCAATTGGTGTGATTCCCAGATTTCGTTTGATTTGTATTTACAGTTTTATTTTGTGTAAATAAATAATATATTATATGGTGTTTTTTTTTTATACCTTCTTTCCCATGCTGCATATAAAATTGTTATATGACAGCAGAGTGGATTTTTTGAATAAATGTTTGGTGTTGTAGACGATTTAAACCCAAAAACCTGAGATTAGAATATTGCTATGGTAACCACCAAGCTACAGGTCTTTTTTTTGTTTAGTTTAATGTCAATCCAAGTGTCTTTGTTCCTTTTTTTTCTAAAACGTTGGTTCATATTTTTCTCATCTCTTAAATGTTTTTTTTATCTCTTTATGTTTTTCCTTCTCCTTTGATTAGGATGTATGTAATAGAAGAGTGTTTGTGGAACACAGAGTACCAAATGCCGACCCAAACCAAATCATCGCCAAGAATCTGGACACTGGCGAATACTGCCATGTGGACATAATTTGAGGGGGGAAAACGAGGAAAAAGATGTTGGAATCCAGATGGGAATCAACATGTGAACATTACTCACCGAAATACAGAAGCTGCCTATCATCAAGTTGTCTAACGTCGTATAAATTATGGTAGGCATTCTGCACCTGTTTCTCATAATGTGCTAACAAGAACGTGTCTACAGGTGATCGCCTTGCCTGTTATTAATAAACTAAACTTAACATATGACTTCAAGTAGTTTGTATAGTATATTTTTTAATGGTATGAGTGTGTGAAGCGTACACATTCGACTTCGAGCGAAAAAAAAAGGACGGATATCTTCAGATTGGACTATCTATACATTGGATACTGATGCTAAGGTCTAACAGAATGCAAAGTAAACGTATATAATCTTGTTATTTGATGCACATATTTCTGGAGTGTGTAGCTCAAAATAGATATCACAACTTCAAAGATTTCCAACTTTATTCAACTTAATTTCAGTTACAACCACCAGACATTTAAAGTTTTGTCATTAGGGAGCTTTCGGTTGCACCATGACAGTAGGATGTATAACGTAATGACGTCACTAAAAGTCGTCTGCGCATGCGAGAACGTGAAGTTCTCCTTGTTGCATACATGGATTTGGCCAAATCTATGTATGCAGAGAGCGTAGGACGCCCAGTAGGACGGTCACATATGAGTGATTCCATTCTACCGTCGCATCGTCAAACAAAATCCAATGTGAAACAGCATAACTCCATTAAGGTCATTTGTACATACTGTATTTCTATTGAGGAACTTGTCTATATAGTGGTTTGCCTTTTTATTAAGTTTTTATTGAGTTTAGGAAAATCACAAAAGCTGTTAGTGATGTGTAATATTATTATTATTATTATTATTACTATTATTATTATTATTACTATTATTATTATTATCATTATTATTATTATTATTATTCATTACTACTACTACTATTACTGTATTAAATAATATTATATATATTATTCTTATTATAATAAATTAAAGTATATAATTATTAGAATTGAAAGGTTTTATGCTTGCTTTGTGGTAAACAGTCTTGCTGGGTGTTATGCCAATGTTATGTTGGACATTTTTAGGTCAAACTAAGCATGTACCTGGTCAGTTTGACCAAAACAAATGTAGTGTGAAACTGTGTAAAGCCCTGTCCAAATTTTATTGGACAAAAACATGGGACACACCTAAATATGGTCATGATGACATCACATCATGACCGTATATAGCATAGGAAGTTCAACCAAGCAAAAAGTCAGATGGAAACAGTGCGACTCGATTAAGTATCCCTGCTACTGCTGCCTACCTATCTGAACATGTCACTGAATGTATCAACGCATTCGCAAAATGAATCCAACATGAACACTGATTAATGAAATTATCATTAAAGCTGTTACCTGAAAGCATTAATATTATTTTTCTATTTTTAAAACAGAACATCTTTATCATTATTATTAACTTTGAAGATTTTGATCTGTCATATATTAGTATTGTTTTAAATATTACGAAGTAAATTATTGTTATTATTCATATTATCTATGTTTTATGCTGCCATCCATTTGCATTAATGTTTATATCCTGTTACGTTGTTGATATGTATTTGTGTTAAGTACTTGAGTGCAGTAATAATGCCTTATTCATTTTGTATTATTATTCTTAATTTATATGTGCCTGCGTTGGTGGAATTCATTTATTATTTTCCTGTTATTTTCTCTCCCAGTTAGGTTACTATATTAGCTTCCTCCATTATGATGCATCTTGCCTTTAAACAAATACATGTAACCAAATTTGAGTGCTTGGCCAACAGGAGGTCCCTGGAGAACCGTAACCCCTTATCAGGGGAACGCCCTCCCGTCGGACAGGCCTAAATCCACCATCATCTGATGACAAGGCAAGGTCGTCGAACCAAAAATAATTGCCTATCCAAATAACATTATTTTGATTGGCAATCCCCTAATACTGTGGTGGGCCATACTAAGCCATAAAAACTACTAAATCCTACTAGGGATTTTTATTCCTGACCGAGGCTCTTAGTCGGCCCCTTGGTTCAAACTATCCCTCCCCTGCACCCCAGTCGGATGACGGACCACCTGACGGAAAATTTCTGGAGCCTCCACTGTACACCGGCATACCAAATTGGTTTGTTATCCTTCTTGTAAATCTTGCCATGCTTTGACCACTCTGAGTATCTTCTCTGCTGCCAGCTCCACGATTTATTTCCGCACTCTTTCTGTTACTTTTTTAAAGTACATTCCTTTTCACAATACAAATATTTTGTGGGAATTGTTTGATCTAGTTTGAATATAATACTGTAAATTGAAATTAGTTTTTACTAAACCACAATAATATATTATATGTACTTGCGACTTTTCCTGTGCTTTCAGCAACAATTCTTTAGGCAATGAACTGTTGATAGTTTCAGTTCCGATCGCTAGGTGGAGTACGACTTCTACAGCTGGTGCATGGTGTCTGTGGACTGTTCTGTGGTCTTTTCCTTAACCAGATGACTTCATAATTTGCTTTCTTCCCAAGCATTAACGTTTTCCAGGATGCTGACACCTGCCCAGCTAGGAATATGATTATGGGAGACAGAATGGTCTGTACTAACAGATTTATGTAAGATTGACGAGGAAGAGAGTCTGGATGATCGTGTGCAGACCCCTTGTGTGTGAGTGGCTACGTCTTTTTGGTGGTCTTGTAGTCAGGTTTTTAAAGGTATGCCTGTCTCTCCTACATACGGTACACAGAATCACAATTAGCATATTGGATCTGGTAAATAGCACCGCATAATGCCTTCTGGTTGAGTTTGTCCTTAGGGTGTACTTCTTGAATATTTGGGTGCTTTGGTTAAAAAGAATGTGTGTATTGTATTTGTTAAGTATTTTCATATGAGTCCCATGTACCACATTGAAGATTTTGATAATTTTAGATATGTGTTCATTCATGGTTCTTAGGTTGCATATTTGGGGAGATTGATTGATATGTTTGTATTTTCCCACCTAAATTTAGATAATCTTGCAGAATTTATTTTATCCAAAATTTCCACATCATAGAGATCGGAGAGATAAAGTTTAGTATTCGTTTGTTTACCCTGAGAAATTTCACAAAAGTTGTTATTCATTATTAAACATTTTCCTTTCGTGAGCATGTACATTTGAATGTTAGGTGATTCATACCATGTAATACTTTTCCCATGGACTGGATAATGCACTACCATCTCCGGGACGAATTATCTATGCTTTTGTTCTTAGCTTTGACCCAACTTGCTAAAACATGCCTACATGATCAGATTAAAAATATTTCAATACATCTTAAACCAGTTTTTGTTTTGTGTGGTGTGCAACCTTCTATTTATTCTTTGGAAAATCTGTGTTGTAAAAGGTAAACTTTCTCTTTAAGTTTTAGATAAAAATCGTAAATTTGATGGTTTTTTTTTACTGCAGTAAATCTCAGTGGCTCTCATTCCTTGTATCATGCATGGTTTATGTCCCAATACATAGCTAATTTATTTGTTATTAAAATATTTATATCTATTTGACTTAATTTTCAATCACCTTAAAATCATGTTGTTTTGAGTATGTTTTGAAAAATAAATTAAGAGTTAACAGTTTACAGTGAATCAACAACAAACATATTGTCAATAAATACTATTATTATTATTGCTATTGTATTTGTATTATACAGTATGATTATTATTATTATGATTATTATTATTATTATTATTATTATTATTGTTATTATTATTATTATTACTACTACTACTATTATTATTATCATTACAGTATTATTATTATTATTATTATTTATTATTATTATTATTGTTATTTGCTCTTATTTGAGTACTGTAATTCAAATCTAATCAATATATGTGTGTGGTATAATATATAGTAATATTTTCTTTGTATATAATAGCTATTTTGTGCTGTCATGGACTAATTTCTATCTGCAATTTATATCCGTTTAATTTTTTTTGACAGTACATTAATTTGGAGCGCATGTACTGTATGATATAAGAATTATACAGTTATTTTTTTTCCAGTAATTAGTATGTGTTGAAAATGGTGTGGAACAACAGTAATACAATCAATGTGGATGGTATGTAAAATACACATGGACCAATGGCATAGGCCCTGTTTACACTTATGAAGCTGTAACCGATCTCCTTTCCGATACACACCATATTTACACGGGTGCATACAGTGTATTAAATACTTTAGAAATAGAAATTTGTGAATTAACACAGTGTTTTTTGCAAGTGTACATGTTGACCCTCTTTACAGAAAAATATTTATTAGACATTTGAAATATTTTTGCATGTTTTATGAGAAGATAATTTGTAATCACTGGAAATTTATAAACTTGAAATATTACTATGTGTTAAAAGATTTGTTTAGTATTACTGGAATTTAAACCTTTATGTATATCTGAAAGTTTAATATGTATACAGTTTGTTATTTCATAGTGTTTTGAGAAGAATTGAGTATGAAATTGAGGACACACTTTGAGGCCTGCTTTGATTTTAAATAATATATGTATAAAGAAAAAGATAACCCACATAATGGGACAGCAGGCTTTTCCGATCTGTATTTCACTTGCCACTAATGAAACATTGGTGTTGTTCGAAAGGCTTTTGTGGCTCTTTTTCTTATAAATTTTGTATCCCAACAAGGGTCAGGCCAATGTTTTTAAATCCTATATACATGTATATTTATGTTTATATATATATATGGGAAATTAAAATTATATATACATTATGTATATTATATGTATATAAACATAATACATTATGTAAAGCCAGCCACCCCCTGCACACGACAGTCGTTGGCTAACGCGATTCCATGGAAAACGCGACGCCACGGCACGTGCTCAACAGATTGTTTTTTAATGACGACCCGTTCAGACTGCCACCTGCAATCAGTAGATGGTGTCGCACCAATTACCTCTCACAGAGAGCAGAGTATGCACGCAAGTCATACAGTGAGCGCCCGGCTTTAAATACTTTAGCAGGGAGACTGGCACTTTGAATGGGTATATCGCCGAGAAATCAGCGAGGGTGAAAATAAAGTTGTCCGACCTGCCGTATGTGCAGATACACACATTAAGCAACTGTTCAACTTACTAGTTTCAATTCTTTTCATAATCCTTTATAGAGACGGAAACATCATTCATTACCGACGCACTCGCATGGAGCAGGTATCAAACATTTGAAATAATACGGCCGGGTTTTAAAAGATATCTTTAAAGTATATAATGTAAAGGGGAAAGTTTCTTGCGCTGTAAGGTCGGATATTCTAAAATATTAAACGATAATTGACGAATGTGCTCCATACATTTCTATGGTTTAATATACCTTTAGCAATTTGTATATGAGGTTTATCATATGCATTTCCACAGTATATACACGGGAGTAGTAGGCCTATAATGTGTATATTTTGTGGCTTCCTTTCAATCAAAATAAGTCAGTCGATGATTTGTATATAATGCTACTATTTCTAGTGCGTGAAGATTAAAAACTATTTCAACTATAATATCGTTACTATGGATTGTGATATATGAAGAGTTTAGAATTATTCATATTCTATATTGTCATTGGTTTTGCTGTACATATGTTTTTTTTTGGATAGCATGCAGTATTTGAAATACCACCCTTCACATCTCAAGTGCGCTCTTTACCGGATATAGTATGCCCTCTAAAGATGGCCTTTTTTTTTGGTTCAAACTTTAGGACTAGAGTTGATTTATTTATGTTAGTGAGTTATTGAATTTTAAATTAAAATATTGTACTCATGGTGTTTGTCGAGACCTCCAATATAATTCAGGACAGACTAAGTAATAAAAGATTTACTAAACCATAATGTTTTGCAAGTCATCGTTTATTTTAAGTTTGGAATTGTTGAAAATTTAATACAGGGGAATTCTTGACGGTAGCAGTTAAATCACTATTACTCTTGTATAAAACACTGCTTTCTACTTTGATGATTATTTGTTTATTTCGTTCGCCTACCTCACCAGATCAGTACACGTCTGTCATCTTTGGAATCGTTCAATGTTTCATGTTAATCGGTCTGGCAAATTTGCTTAAATGGTTCTCCAATTTCTTCCCCTGTTTCATCATGCACCAAATAGCATGTGGATCCTGGGCAACACTGTTCTGGTAAACATCTTGAGGGGGGATTTAAGCATGATTTCTATGGGGGAAAATAGAACGTTTGACTGATAATTATAGGCCTAATACTAACAATGTTTTATTATTATTTATTTGTATTTATAATAACGCATCATTCCGGAACCACATGGAGAGCAGTAAAAGAACGATGAGCATTTTTTATCCCAAGTATTTAATTAACAAATCTGTACCTCATTCACCATTCCCTAGTTTTTTTTTGTCAAGCAACTTTCTTTCTGTTTTAAAAAAAATCCGTTATACAACATACCAACAATTTATGAATTGACCATTGTTTTTCGAAAGTGTACATGTGGACCTTCTGTACAGAAAAATATTTATTAGGCATTTATAATATTGTTGATGTTTTGTGAGAAGATAATTTGTAAAATGTTAAATATTTCATGCTAAATCTTCTGGCATCGGAACATTTACAAAACCTGGAATCAGGGTGCATCTGGATCCTGGGCAACAAGGTGGATAATCTTCCAGTCTCGTTTTATACATCTGGCCGATAAAGTGGGTGTTATACAGGACTGTTTCTATGGGGGCATTATAAACCATTTGACTTTAAAACAAATTTTGTATAACGCATGTATTTGTCTTAATAACACGACGTTGGTCTAGTGCATCATTTAAGCATCTACAGGAGCGGCGAATGCGGTCCGATAGAAGAAAAACCAGTAAAGTTTTCAAAAGGCTCCGCGTGTTCTTATTTTTTCAAATTTTAGTTTTTTTTTCATATTTTGTTCATGTTTTATACACTTTTTAAAGATAGAAAATTATTATTGTACAGAAGTATTGTACTGTGGCCTTCCTTTTAATCAAAATAAGTCAGTCGATGATTTGTATATAATGCTACTATTTCTAGTGCGTGAAGGTTAAAAACTATTTCAACTGTAATATCGTTATTATGGATTGTGATATATGAAGAGTTTAGAATTATTCATATTCTATATTGTCATTGGTTTTGCTGTACATATGTTTTTTTGGATCGCATGCAGTATTTGAAGTACCACCCTTCACATCTCAAGTGCGCTCTTTACCGCATATAGTACGCCCTCTAAAGATTATTTTTTGGTTCAAACTTTCCTAGAGTTGATTTATTTATGTTGGTGTTTGTCGAGACCTCCAATATACTTCAGGACAGACTAAGTAATAAAAGATTTACTAAACTATAATATTTTGCAAGTGATCTTTTATTCTCAAGTCTGGAATTGTTGAAAAATTGATACAGGGGGAATTCTTGACTGTTGCAATTTAATCATTATTACTCTTGTATAAAAGACACTGCTTTCTATTTTGGTGATTATTTGTTCATTTCGTTCTTCTACCTCACTGCATCAGTACACGTCTGTCATTTTTGGAATCGTTCAATGTTTCATGTTAATCGGCCTGGCAAACGTGCTTAAATGGTGCTCCACTCTCTGTCCAGGTTCAAACTCCAAAGCGCATTTGTATCCTGGGCTGTTGACATCTTGAAAGGGGATTTGCGCAGGATTTCTATGGGTGAAAATATAACGTTTGACTGATAATTATAGGCCTAATACTAATAAGGTTTATTATTATTTATTTGTCTTTATAAAACACGTTTGTATAAAACGCATCATTCCGGCACCACATGGGGGAGCAGCAAAAGAACAATGGACACTTTTTATTCCAGTATTTAAATATAATAACAAATCTGTACCTCATTCACCATTCCCCAGTTTTTTGTCAAACAACTTTTCTTTCTGTTTAAAAAAAATCCGTTATACAACATACCAACAATTTATGAATTAACCATTGTTTTTCGAAAGTATACATGTGGACCTTCTTTACAGAAAACTATTTATTAGGCATTTATAATATTGTTCATGTTTTGTGAGAAGATAATTTGTAAAATGTTAAATATTTCATGCTAAATCTTCTGGCATTGGAGCATTTACAAAACCGGGAATAAAGGTGCATCTGGATCCTGGGCGACAAGGTGGATAATCTCCCAGTCTCGTTTTATACATCTGGTCGATGAAGGGGATGTTATACAGGACTGTTTCTTAGGGGCATTATAAAACATTTGACTTTAAAACAAATTTTGTATAACGCATGTATTTGTATTAATAACACGACGTTGGTCTAGTGCATCATTCCAGTATCTACAGGAGCGGCGAATGCGGTCCGAAGGGTTAGAAGAAGAACCAGTAAAGTTTTGCAAAGGCTCCACGTGTTCTTATTTTTTCAAATTTTAGTTTTTCAAATTATTATTGTACGGCAGTATTGTACTGTCTGTACTGTACTATTTTATTGGTTTTTCTGTTGAAAAAAATGAAAACCTCAATTGACATTAACCTCAGCCTCAATTTGTTCTTATTTATAAAACAATTTCAGCCTCAGTGTTTATATAAACTGTGTAATATACAAAAATACTCTTTTCTAAATCTTCGAATTTGTTTAAATAGCATGTAGTGGTTTCCCGGTTCCCTACAGGGATTTTAACACCGTGATTTCGGTCTTCCTCAACATGTCGAAAGTGAATTCAGGCTTCCGAGCACGGATTTTTTTTTTCCACGGGGTCAGAGCACCCGATTACGGCCCCTCGTTTCCCGGGGATTAAACCGGAGAGCTTTAAATGTTTCTACGTATGTACGTTACGTGTGACACCAGCATTACATTTTTGCCAGTTAAAAGGCTCCCATCGGTTAATTAGAAGCACTCGTTGTAGATGTGGGATCACAAAACAGCTGTAGAGCTTTTAGTAATTTTTAATCATTGACTTCAACCAAACATTATATGATTTGTATTTACAAACAGATGAAAAATAATTATTTTTGGTATGCTGATATTAAACTGAAAATGCTTTTAATTCTAAGCCTATTTATAAGCAACTCAATAAAAGTTCAGTTTTCAAATAAATTTTTTTTTCATTTGTTGTTTTTGTATTTTTTCCCACGGTGCTAAGTCAAATACTGTAGGTGTTTGAAATTCGTTGATGAAACACACTTTCTTTTGATTTAATTTGTTCATGATCGTTTCAATATTTCGTTCTTTACTAGAATGATTGATTAGAAAAAAAAATCCCTGATGATTTTTAATAAACTACGAAATATTTGATCAATTCGACTTCGCTCATCAGTCTCTTTGGAGTGCCCATTCCTCCTTTCCTTTTGCGTTCGTGCGCCTGTTAATCATTCAATTTATTGTAGTTTTTTAGTGATTTAATAGCGACAATTAAGTCGGTTTTCTTTTTATTGTGGAAGGCGCTATAAAAATGCATTTAATTATTAATTAAATTAA